GCCACAACATTAAAACCACCACAAAGACACACAACGGCTACAAACTACACAAAACTTCTGGAAAGACACAATAAACAAGGCGACGTGTCTCTGTGTTTTCATGTTGTGTCTCTTAGTATTCATGTTGTGGTTTTTTTTCATGCTTATGTTGCATCTCCAGAGGGCTGTACTACAAAGCGAGATTATTGGGTTATTGAGGGATGTAAAGTTTAAAATCAGAGTTTTCAGTGTCTCTCTTTGTGGCTCTCTTTTTACCTGCTAGATCTCCATGGTAACTGATGCTGTGGAGCTAGATCTCCATGGTAACTGATGCTGTGCAGCTTGATCTCCATGGTGACTGATGCTGTGCAGCTTGATCTCCATGGTAACTGATGCTGTGGAGCTAACCTGGTCGGGAGCAGATTATGTTCAGAGTTTCAGATTTTAATCAGCTGGAATGAGCGTCTCCCTTTAATCAGATGGTTTACTGACTGTTATTTATGAGCGATCCAGATTCTCAGCTGAGGGAATGTGTTTTATCTGCTCCCATGCTGAGTTGTGTGTTACTAGTATCACTGAATGAAGCCGTGTAGTTACAGGATCGCATGCTGTATGTATTGCGTTGCTATGGGAACCAGACGTGTATTTCGTTGGTGAAGCAGAAATCACATAAATATGTTTTTATGTTTGGCTCTGATCTTCTTTCAGGTCCGTTTACTTTGCTGGTACTGCTGCTGATAGAACAGATTAGAAAATGGATTATTCTGCTGGTATTTATTACAGAGAATATTCAATCAATAATATTGATTTTGCTTTGATTTGACAAAAAACTAAAGTGACTTCCTGCATTATGGGACAGTGTCAGACCTAAATGCACTTCAAAACAATATCAGGTTTAAATATATTGAGTTTAAAGTTTAACTTTAACGTGCAGCTGTCAGTTGGAAATCAGCGGCTGCATCAGTAAAATATTCTATATTAACACGTTCAACAGCTTTCTACCAGTGTTTGTGTCTTGCACCATTTGCAGTCGCAGTGCTTTTTACCATCATCATTTTTTAAAATTCCTCATTGTTCTCCATTAAAACAACCTGTTGACTGAAGCAGCTGCACATCGTTTCATTTTATGCAGAAGAAGAGTCACGTGACGCGTTAAACGCTCCTTTTTATGTGAACAGAGTCTGAAGCAGAAAGTCTGAGTTGACAGAGAAAGTTGAACCACCTTTGTGATACTCATTATCCCTGATTGCGGCTTTTGTCGAGCCGACTTACACAGAGAAAGCCCGGCTTTGTGAAACTTGCTTCATAGTACAACCCTCTGGTGTTCATGTTGTGTGTCTCTGTGATGATGCACTACAGTGTCAGTATCTTACTCCTCCACAGCAGAACGTTGTTGTCTTTCAAAGAACATGGCGGCGCCCTTTGAACGAGCATTTTTCATGGAGTCAAAGCTAAGTTCTGGTTCTGGTCCTGGGTTCTGATGGATCCTGGTAGACAGAGAGGAAAACCAGCAGCTCAGTAAGTGCAGCACAAACAAGCAGCTTCACAACAATCAACACAGCTGGAAGTCCAACCAGCACCAACACCAGCTCATAAATCAGAGTCCAAAGCAGCAGCTGAATCATTAAATCTCTTTATTGTGACTCCGTCCAGAGTTCACACACAACTGTGAGGCTCAGCTGACTGTGATACCTTTCCATGGTGGTGAAAACCTGCAGCCACCTGAGGACACAAACACACAAAGTTCAGCCGTCAGTCTTCAGTCTCAGTCAAACACACAGCTGACTTTATCTGCACATTTCATGCCGTTTCTCAACAAACTGATGAAAGACAAGCGACCCACGAGGTGATGGTGGACGTCGACAGCAGCAGACAAACGGCAGCTTGTTGGTCACAAACACAAATCAAAGGTCCACTTACTGAACTTGTTGCAGTCAAACAGCTTTCTGCTCCTCTCATGAGCTCGATGGTCGTCCTTCTTCAGCGCCGCAGGAACCCAAACACCTCAAAGCACAAACCAGTCTGAACCTGCACAGCTCAAAGATCAGCTCTTTATCATTCTCATATCAGACACGGAAACAGCAGATTGACTGTCTCACTGAAACCTGGTTGCAGCCTGAAGAATATGTCGGTCTAAATGAATCAAGCCTCCCAGTCATATAACTTTTATTTCCCTACAAATACAGTCAGACTCAATAATCAGCTCAATAATTAATCTGAAACCTGAACTTGAACTCGTTTCAAAGCCTCATTTTTAGTGTCTGACACCCAACTGGAAAACACAAAACTAGTTGTGTTAGTTGTTGTATTCACCCACCTGGCCCTTATTGTGGAGGGGAGAATATCCACTCTGTATCACAGCCCTGATGAAGAACAGATCCTCGACTCTCTGGTCACTGTGGGGGCAGCTGTCGCCACCTCACCTGCCAGAGAACTGGACTCGACTGTCCCATACCTGGACACCGCCGACACCCCGGCTGCTGACCACTGGCGCCGACGTTCTGCCAAAAACTGACTGTCCTCTGTGGGAGCGATTCTTCTGATGTCTCTACATGATCTTCTCTGCTCTGTGCCCTCAGTTAAAACCAGTCCAATTCTTCTGAGCAGCTGAAAAAGCTTTAAAGCACCACTTCCTGAAGTGTCATGTTATCCTCTTGACAAAAAGTGACTGCTGCCTCTACGCTGTGACTCAGATGTTATAAATGCACCAAAAGGACTTGATTCTTTCATGAGGGTTATATTTAAAAGACTATAGCCGACAGGAAAACAGATGAATCCTCAATTCTAGACGTAAACCCATGTTAATAATAGTCTGAACAAGGATCTCAGAAACACCAAACACGTAGAGCAGAACACAGTACTGCCTATAACCCTCCTCATGTAATGCCTGATTAGACTATAAACTACACGTTTTCTGGTCAGTCGTTGTGTTGGAAGACTCGTTAAAGTTTCTCAGAGAAACGCTTCTGCTGTTACCACAGACATGAAGTTACAAAGCTGTGAGTATTTGATGTTCTGACTGTTCAACCCAGACAACAGTAGATGTGTTTAAACTGGGCGATGGCTTCAACAGGAAGTGCAGAATCAGTTTTTGGCATCACGAAGTCCACGGTCCCGGTTATCTCCACTCTGAGCCAGAAGGAGTCATGGACTGCTCCCGGTAAGGGCAACCATGGTGGGAAGCTCCTCGGAGCCTGCAGCTGACCAACAAGTACTCCATCCTGGACCAGCAGAACTTCCCCCCACTTGCCGGTCACTGCACCCCTCCATCGACCCAGGAGCCTGACGGTCCTCGACCTCCCCCTCTCTCCACGCCGGTGTCCAGGACCTCCATCTTTCTGGTTGATCCTCTCTCCAACCTGACAGCTACAGTTCACCCCTCGACCTGCATCCGACCATCCTCCTCAGACCTCCAACCATCCTCCTCCAACCTCCTACCATCCTCCTTTAACCTCCGACCATCCTCCTCGGACCTCCAACCATCCTCCTCCGGCTTCACTAATCATCAATGACTCCACAGGAAGACTCATTAAATCACCAACAGCAGCATCGTATAGTTCTCCTGGTGCCAAAGTTCTGGACCTGCTCCAACAGATCCCATCCCTTCTCAGCAGGCCACTAAATGTTATTCACCAGCGACTCCGCTCATCAACAGTCCGAGGTTCTAAAGCCTGATTTAACAGTCTTTTTAAGCTACTCGAGGACTGTAATAACTCTGCTCTCATCTCTGGGCTCATCCTTCCTTCTGTCGTGGCGTCGGACGTTTGAGCAGCTGCTCAGCCTCCACTCCTGCTGCAGTCAGTGTGACCTCTGAGGTGTCTTCTGCTATAAAATGAGCCAGTCAGGGGCAGCAGATCATTTATTCCACACTCTGCATCTGCATTTAGAAGTGAAAAAGGAAAAACCGACTATCAGGAATCAAAGAATCTGCTGTGATCCGTGGACCAACGGCTCATATCTGGACAGACAGCAGCGTCGTCATTTAAGCTAGCTGTGTAATTAACTGTCTAAAAAACTAAACACAACGACTAGTTAGCTGAACACAAACATGGACAAACTGCTCTGAAACAACTAATAACTACAATATCAGACTTTCTGAACTGTTAGAATCGCTGAATGTTGATGTTTCTCCATTTAAAGCTACATTACTTTGAGCTAATCCTCCGTAACGGTGAGGATTACCCACAATCCTTTGCTGTACGCACTAAACGCAGGGACCCACAACAGACAGCAGGTGGCAGAGTTCAGCCGTTTCAGCGGGATTTAAGGTGAACGCGTTGACTCTGTTCCGTCAGCATCCTCCTCACACAGCTTCACTTCTATTCATCGTTTTAATGTGTTCGCTCTTGAACAGAGATGGTTTTCAGCCCACAGGGTTCCTGAGCCTTCACTGCCAACATCCTTCATGACCTGCGCCAAGCAGCTCATTTCCACCATTTTGGGATTTCCAGCAAGTTCTGCATTCACTTGATCTACACTATTGGATTCATGGAGAATCAAAATATATCTCTAGCATTTGAGATAGCATTGATATCATTAATAACAAGCTGACGGAGTGATGAACGGTCTCACATATTTTCTACACTTACGTTATGTCTGCAGTTCCTTACTGGCTTTAAGCTGTTAGCTAACGCTACGCTAGGTTGGCAGAACTACAGCGATGCTATTGCTAACATAAACAGACAGGGAGTAGCTTAAGCTAGGTTAGCACAACTTTAGCAACGGAAATGAAAAGCATGAACGACGCAACGAAGCGCGCGTCAGTCGTCCTGACACATGGCAAAGAGAGTTAAAGTGAACCAGGACACATGTAGAGTCATTGTTAATGTCACAACGTGGTTCTGAACTTATCTGTCAGTGGCTCGGCTCAGCCCACTGCTGTGGTGCTGCCTGGCTGAAGCTTCCTGCTGCACGACTGAGAAGACAGCGGTGAGGACTGAATGGAGTCAGAGCTCCATCTAGCGGACAAACGGCGCAACGGCAGCAGAAGAATTTCACCCTTTTGGGGAAATGTAATGAATAAATGTTCCCACATATTTTATTTTAATATGCAGCAGAGAAGCAAAAGAAAACGGACTCAGTCAGAAAGAGTCATTTAATAAGAATCCATAATTATATAAACTATAACTGACTAGTGGAAACAGTTCACAGCAGTACTAATTAAATCCATATTCATACATGAAACATACATTAAATTAGCTTTTAATTAAATAAAATGTAGTTTTACTCAATAGTTTATTTAATAAGAAACCCATCTGTTACGGCCCAAAGAAGGCACCAACATATTAAACAGGTGACACAGGGAACCTGGGTATTTTAACTTTCATTTGTTTTATTTTTAAAACAAATTTGAACAAAAAATGAATAAACGCCCAATCACCCCGTGCCCCCAAAAAACAACCAAAGTCACAAATTAAAGGTGGACCCGGCAGGTCGGCCAAACAAAACAAAAAGATGTGGCACCGGGCCAACCCTATACAGGGCCGGCGAAGCCGGTGCCAACACCGAACTAAAAGAAATCCCACCCACCAAAGTCCAAGTAACGAAAACTGGCCGGCCGATCCCGCCGGGTCAAACAATCTAAAAGTCAAAAGGAAAAGATGCCAGGCCGGCATCAGGCTGCCAACGTGGCAGTTGGGCTGCGAGGGCGCGCACGGGTCCGAGGCGCGCTGCAGCCAGGAGGAGCCTGTAGGGAAACTGGTTAGGAGGGAAGAGCAAGAGAAAGCAGAACACAACGCCAGCCTATTTATAGGCGGAGCAGTGGCTCTATCAATCACCGTAAAAAATACAAAAATGAACTAAACATGCTCCCCTGAAAAAATACTAAAATGTACGAAAAACGAGCTCCAATAAACATAAAACGAGGGGAAAATATGCAAAACTAAAGAAAGGGTAAAAAAAAAAAAAAAAAGTGCCCCCAGCACATAACACCATCCCTTAACATGTTCCCTTAAAATGACCATAACTTTTTAAATCCAGGTACAAAGTCAGAGATTTACACTGAACATGAGGATCATTAATTAACATTTAACAGGTGAAGATGAATTAATGAACTTTTAATGAGTAATATATGGATTTAAATATATTAATGAACATTCATGGTCATTTTAGTTTGATTAAAGATGGAATAAATCTCCTGAAATTGTCCTAAAAACCTTGAATACATCCTTGATTTATTTACTTTAATTAGAAAGTTAAGGATATTTAAAATAAATTAGAGGATAATTTTCATGTTTCTTGATTTATTTAAATTCATTCACTCTTAGAAAAATCAATGCACAAGACATTAATTTATTTAATGTAACAAAGATCATCTTAGAATGTCATTAAAAGTAGCCTCGTTTAATCATTTTAATATTTAAATTAATACATTTTAAATGTTGAAAATATTGGGAAAATATATTAATAACTCATATTACTATGAAATACATCAGTATGAACAAAGTCCAGCAGACATAAAGTAAAACACATGTGTAAATAAAGCACATGTGTGTTTCCTGTGTTTCAGACAGACCTTCTTCTGTAGAGTCTCTGATCCAACCTGAACCTCACATTATGTGATATCATGGACCACAGTCACAACAGGGTTGGTTCTCTCTAGTGGCCACAGGCGGTAACTACACTAACGTCAAGTTAGACACATTACAGACAAACTACACTTTCTGGTAGCTCTTTCAAAATAAAACACTTACGTGCCTTAACATTTATTAAAATATTACAACGCGATTTTTGGAAACTCAAGAGTGACCTCCGGTGGACACTAATCTGTAATTAGCGCTACTTAGCTTCTCCACTTACGCTGAATGTTTTGTTTTACTCTGATTAACATTCAAACACAAAATGAATCCACATTGTAGCTAAATGCGAACCTACAACAGCATCCATGACCGGCAGGGTTAGCCGAGCTAGCAGCAGTGCTAACGAGCTTTTCTACTGGCACAGACTGTTTAATGCCGCAACACAGACAGCTTTAAAATAAACGTCCTACAAGAGACAGAAATGTTGTTTCACTTTAGTTTGAGTTGTAAAGTTTAACTGTGTGATTGTATCTGACTCGACAGTAGTGAAGTCAACA